GACATCAACAATGATTTTGGCTAGAGCATTTGCATTAGGGTTTGTTTAATTAAGTGAATTAGTGGTGTAGTGTAATTCTTTTGCAGGGATTAAAGAAAATCATGTATTTGACATGAAAATTTACAAATATAATGTAAAGTTTGGATGAACTTATGTAAAATGTAGTTCATTTTGACTTAATTTAGAATTTGGCCAATTTGGTCAAATTTGAATTACATCATTCATGTAAAATGTTATTCGACAAGTTGTTATCGCCCGCCACCACCATCGTTGTCGCTGCCACCGCCAAGGTTCACCACCACCTCCTGTCGATCTAAATGATTGCCATGTTCTCTGGAGTCAATCTAATTCAGAATACAAATCATTTCATTTTCTTTTACATATTGAAGGTATAAAGATGTTACTAATTTTCTAAGCAGCTGAACGTTCATGATTATGTACTGCACAAATTTAATTCTAAACATTCTTAGATCTTCAACTCTTAAAGGGATGATTTTTGTCTCCAAATAATATTTAATTTGATCAACTAACTCAAAGATGATTCATCTTTAGTGCTTAGGATTTCACATTCTTCTATGGTTGGGTGGTTTAACGTCATGAACCACCTACTAATGTAGGTTTCTTGATTATATAAGTGGTTTATGAATTTAATGGAATATATTCATGAACACACTGTCTATGAACAAGATCTATAACTTCTTGTCATGGACATGTATTTCTTTACTTTTCATTCCCTTTAAGAAATCTATCAAAAAAATGATGACTAGTTTGGCCTTTATTTATGTTCTAGACATGTGAGATATTTCTATTCACTTAGTTCCACTAACTATTTGAATAACCTTAAGGTGATGTCGTTTGGCATGTACTGATTTTAGAGGATGATTGGTTATAAGCTGAATTGGATGAACGTAGTGCTCATGTGAGTTTTTTTCATTATTATGTATCTCAATTATGCTCCGCATAGGACCTTACTAACATGATATATGAAATCATTCTTCTTGTTTTCTTCTCAAACTAGCACAGAGCTTACTGCTTCTTTACTTACTCCCAAGTAGGTGAATAGGTCCTCTCCCACCCTTAGACTTTGCATTAATGGAGGTGATGATAATAGAGTTTTGAGCTGCCCGAATGCTTGTTCATACTCTTTTATTAAAGTAAAATGCTTAGTACTTCTGATAGCTTAAAAGAATGATGAGCATCTATCTAAGAATCTAGGGATGAATCTGCTAAGGTCACTATTTCGCTCAATCAGAATTTGTGACTCTTTCATGTTTTTTGGCTATGACATATCTAAAATTACCTAAACTTTCTCTGAATTTACCTTGATTCTTTAGATGTAACCAGGTATCACAAGAACTTTCCCAAGATGGCTCCGAAAGTAGAGTTCAAGTTGACAAAGTCGACACACATTCTCCATTTGCTATTCATCTTTAAGACCATTACACCATTTATTAACTAGTCCAAATATTTATACTTTTCTAATGAAATGGACATCCAATAATTTCTGGACTTCCCTGTCAAATAGCTTCAGCCAAGGCAGTTGATGCAGGCCTCATCTTCTGCTTGATTGGTCTGCCCTTGGATTGATTTTAAATTGGTGACAGGCTACATCAATACTCATGCCAGGCATTTTGTCTAGTGTCCATGTGAATAAGTTTGGAGGCTCTCTCAAAATTAAGTGATCTTTGTGTTCTTCACTAAAACTAGAGCTAAATTGGAAGGTCCTACGCATCTTCCTTAAGAACAGACACCTGCTCTACAATCTTAATTGCTTCTAGGATGATTCCTTTATGCATGTCAGCTGGAGGACATCTTCCTATACGCTTTCTTAAGGGTAACACGTATGAGACTGCATTAGGTCTCCTCAGATAGTAATAACTTTTCTCCCTTCTAAGAACTTTACAACTACATAATATGTGGAGACAATGACCTTGAAGTTGTTTAACGCCGGCCTAGCGATGATGGATTTGTAAGTGGTAGGGGTATCTTCTACAATAAAATCTGCCAACACAATGATTTAGCTTTTTCTCTCTCCCCAAGTCACTGGTAAAAAAGTCATCCTGCAAATTTCCGCCCTCTATCTAAAGATTCATAAGTGGACCGAAAGTCGGGATAAGCTGCATATTTGACATGTTTATTTTCTTAAAAACTCTCTTGAACAAGATGTTGATCAAGTTATCGGTGTCTATGAGGGCGCTCTAGATTTGATAATTTGTGATTAAGGCACCAAACCTATAAATTTGTTGAAAAGATTGCCCCCAATGGGAAAATTAACATCTGTAAAATTAATGAGGGGATGGGTTGGAATAACTAATCTGCAAGAGTTATTGACTTATATATTTATCCACTTTAAGCTAGATCGACATGGAGCTTCATGTCCATCTCTTTCGAAGATGTTCAGAACTACTCCGATGATATGCATGACTCTTGTCGAAACAGGCTCATTGCCTGCTTCCTTGATGGGGGCTTTTTTTATCCTCTATTGTTCATGTATGGGGCCACAAACTTAAGCTTCCCAACTATGGTTCGTTCCTTAATTAGATTTATAAGGCGCTCACACTACTTTGTGATATGGTCATGATCCTTGTGGTAAGAACAATATTTATATGGATCTATGTGACCTCCCAATTGTATTGGCATGGGCTTCCTAAAAAATTTCTTGTTCTGGATAGCTTCGACGATCCCTGTCATGAATATCCTTAATGATAGAACTTCTGAAGGATGATATCAAGGTGATTTAGACCTTCTTTTTTACCTTCATCCAATCATATATTATTAGAATATCCCTACTCCGATTTGCTAGTTCATCCTTTTATGAATGCCTGTGTGAATTGGTCTCTTCGCACCTACGATCTTTCAGGTGCCATCATCTGAATCAACTTTTTGGTTCTCAAGTTCAAGATGAACTAGACAGGGAATTGTATTCTTCGATCGATATATGGTTGTTGACAAAGTCCAAGAGTTCAAATAAAATTTTAGGCCTGTTCTTTTTGCAGGGCTTGAGCTAGCGCTGCATGGGCAACTTCTGGCTCTAAATCTCTCGCTTCTAGCATCTCTCATTAAAATCTAGTGATAATGCTTCTCAAACTTTTGGAAGCCTCTTGACAAATCTTCAAAATGTACATTGAATACTTCAATGACTTCTGTGCACCGGTAAAATGTGTTATAAACACTCACTTGAGCTAACTAAAGAATGTAATGATTCAGACAGGCAAATTGAAGACCAGCAAAGAGCTAACTCTTTCAACATCATAAAAAATAATCGGCACTTCAATGTGTCGTTAACACGTAATAGGCATGCAACTGATTCAAATGAAGTTGAATGGTCAACTAGATCCGTTCTTCGCTTATAAGACTCCAAGGCTAGGATCTTAAATTTCGTTGGTGTCTCAACTTCTATAATTTCTCTTGAGAAAGCATTTTTCAATAATTTACGATTCCTTCTCTTCTCACTTTTTCTCTCTATGTTTTTGTTCAAATATGCACGCATTTCATCCTCTGAGATGTACGTTGCATAAACTTCCTTTTCAAGCATCGATAAGAGAGATCTTCTTGGCATCATCCTTAATATTTCATATATGAGAATCATAGATTCTGAGGAGGACCCTATGTGAGTCCTAGAGTGGGTAATGAAGACAGTTTCTCTTATCTTCGCTATTATCGTCGTCATTTATTTCTTTAGTTAACTAATTGTTGCATCATAAATTCTTTAGTAGAATCCAGTGTTCTCTTCTAGTGTTTTTTCTCATACGAAATGTGTCTTAATTTGAGTATGAATTTCATGCTCACCACAAGTTTTAGAATATAGAATCCTTTTCAGACTTTATATCCCAAATGGTTCGTGGCTCACACAACCTAGGCTAAACCTGTGAAGGACGAAGATGGGAATGGACTGCCCGACGACTTTGCAAAGAACAAGAATAAACTCTTTCAATCAAGAGAAAAGAAAGATGATAGAAAAAGGATGTGACCCCTTAAAGGAGAGAGATCATATCAATTTATAGGGCTTGAGATGATGACTCTATCTCATCAAGTTACAAAGAAAATGTATTAAACGATTTTAATATAATATGATGTCTATCCACATCATGTGTTGATGTTAAATTGTTACGGTATCGATATGAAATGATCATAATTAGACACGACATGCCATCTACTTGTTGGTAGTTGAAACCAGAGAATTGATGTGCAGTAGAGGTGCTCAGCCTGTAAGACTGGTTGGTCAACCCGTCCCAACAGCTAGTACGTAACACTAGCAGCTGTCAGGTGAGTTCGACAGGTCAACTCGACAAATCAATGCGACATTTGGCCCTCATCAGGTGTGTTTGGCATGTCAACTCGACAGTCGATAGACAACTTTGTTTTGAAAAAATAGACTTTCTGAGCTCATGTGACCTGTTAAAAACCCCCTTCAGCCTATGACAACCATTTGTGTATACAATAAAAAACAGACTTCTGAGCTCATATGACCTGTTAAAAACCCCTTCAGCCTATGACAACCATTTGTGTATACAATACATAATAGGAAAATGTCAACGGTGCTTATATGATCAAATCGAATAAATAGTTAATGATTCAACGTGGTTCAGAGATAGTATGCTGCCGATCAAATAGGAGCATAAAAAATAAAGAAGCATTGAACTTAATTGGATTACAATTACAATTTAAGAAGTGTTGCATAGAAGAACTAGAAGGGTTATGAACTCACAAACTAGGATACAACAAGATATACGCTGTTCTTATGATAAAAAGGCATATATAGTCCCGCACATTACACAAATGAATCAAATATTTAAGGCCCTCTGGGTTATGTTTTATAATCAGGTGAATTGGAGAGCATGTTATATTTCAGTCGCAATGCATTGACATCTATTGGGAAAAAAATTTTGGCCCAAATCTCATGATTATAGACCATCAAAATCGAGAGGCAAAAAACATGGTTATAGTTTGCTTCATCACAATAAAAATTAGAAAAAACAAACTGTGAAATTGAACAATAATTTGAACAGAGATCCAAACCATAACAGTCAATAGTTTTGGTAACCAATGCCACAACCCTCTTACTGATAAGATTGTCAAATGCATCATGAAAGGCTTCATTTGATAATGATACTCCCAAAAAGACACAACAAATCTATAAACAACAAGCAGACAAGAAGCTCTCGGTAACAATTAATAAATACAGATGATATAGATCACAAAGCTGGAATCAGTCTACAGATGCAAAGCAAGGATACAGCCTACAAACTTGTTTTATGTTAATCCGCACGAGATTGACCAGCCCGAGATGAGAGGATGATGCCAACAATGAGACCGTAGAGGGCGAGTGCTTCGGCAAAAATAAGAATAAGTATCATGCCTACAAAGAGTTTTGGCTGCTGAGCATTAGCCCTGTGTCAATGAACATCATTAAGCCATAAAAATTACTTAGTATTAAACAAAAAAAACATTATGTATTTATTCTTGTGAAAAAAAGCATTGCTCAAAAATAAATTAAAGAAATCTAAAAAGATATGAAAATAAAATCTATATTTTCTCTCCATCACTGTGTGAGCCCGAAAAACGCAAAAAAAAACCATTTGGTTCTCACGTCGCGGCGGCGGCGTTAAAAATTTTCATTAAAATGCGGCCGCAGGTTCGACCCCACGGCCCACATTTCTTCTCTCACGGCCACGAGCGTATTTATCCGCGACCCCTGTTCTCACATTACCCCTCTCCCGCGAATCTTCTGCCCTAGGTAGATATCTCGCGTGGATCCGATGGCTATTTTCGGTTGTGAGTGGGTATTCCGGTGACCCTTACATTCCAATCCCTCTCCTGTTCTTTCCTTCCGCTAGAATTTTGGTGGTTTGTGCACTTTGTGCTCTGCGTGGTAGAGGTAGTCCTTCGTTTTTATAGATCATTTTGGGTGGTGGTTATTTCAGTTGGTGGTTATTCCGTTGAGGTGTGTATTCTCTCATCCCCTCCCCCTTTTCTTTTTCGGCTCGGTTTGGTGGTTGTGCGGTGTTCCCTCTTATTCATGTCTTCTCCACTCTTTACTTCTTTTCTCTCTTCTCTGCGTGGTTGTGAGCACTACGCTGGTTGGTTTCATCTCTTAGCTCGGTTTAGATGGTTCTTTGTTTGCTCATTTCTGGTGTTTTTCGGTTTGATATTCTCGATTATGTGTTTTTGATGTTTTATGGTGATCTTTGGATTTTTGGTGGTTTACCTTGTCAGCAATGCTTCGGGTCCCCATGTAAGTGGTCTGTTTGATTTTTTGGGAATTTGGATATTTTTATGAACTTTGATATTTCAGTGGGAAATGGATAATTGGATCGAATTTGGTGATGAAATTTTAGGTGGTTTTCGGTTTTAATTGGTGCTTTGCAGTGATCTTTGGATTTTTGGTGTTTTACCATTTAGCAATGCTTCGGGTCCCCTGTAAGTGTCTTTTTGATTTTTTTTTTTTTTGTGCTCATACTGTGGGTAATTTGGATATCTTTATGAACTTTGATATTTTAGTGGGGAATTTGAAAATTGGATGCTGGATGGAATTTGATGCTGGAATATTGGCTTGGAGTATGTGGTGTGGTGTGATTTGTGTTGTGGAAGTTGTGTTGTGGTGCGGTGGTGTTGGGCTTAGAGTTTTTCATATGGTTTGTGGCGTGGAGGTTGTGGCGTCGAGGTTGTGGTGTGGAGGTTGAGTAGTGTTGTGGTTTGTGGTGCGGTGGTGTTAGTTTTAGAGTTTGTGGTGTGGAGGTTGTGGTGTGGAGGTTGTGGTGTTTGGAGTTTGTGGTGTAGTGTGGTGTGGTTTATGGAGTGGAGATTGTGTTGTGGAGTGGTCGTGTTGGGCTCGGAGTTTGTGATATGGTTTGTGGTGTGGAGGTTGTGGTGTGGTGTGATTTGTGGTGTGGTGGTGTTGGGCTTGAAGTTTGTGGTGTGATTTGTGGTGTGGTGGTGTTGGGCTTGGGGTTTGTGCTGTGGTTTGTGGTGTGGAGGTTGTGCTGTGGAGTTTGTGATGTGGTTTGGTTTGTGTTGTGGTGTAGGTTGTGTTGCGGTGGCGTGGTTTGTGGCGTGGTGTGGAGGTTGTAGTTTGGATTTTGTGGTGTGAAGTGGTTTGTGGTGAGGAGATTATGGTGTGGTGTGGTTTGTGATGTGGAGGTTGTGGTTTGGAGGTTGTGGTGTAGTGTGGTGTGGTGAGGAGTGTGTTGTGGTGTGGTGTGTAGATGTGTTGGTGTGGTGTGTAAATGTGTTGGGTGGTTGTGTGGTGTGGAGGTGCTGGTTGTGGTGTAGATGTGGAGGTGTGGTGTAGAGGTGGTGGTGTGATATGTGGTCGTGTTAGTTTATGGCTTGGAGCTTTGGGTGATGATATTGTGACCTTACGATTTTTCTTTATTTTGAGATATTGTTCCATTCTTATTAATGTTAAATAGTTCTTTTCATCATAGTAATGCAATGATTAAGACCAAAGAGGCTGGTGCACCTGCAATATGGGACAAAGAAACAAATATAATATTTTGTGACATTTGTCTCAAGGAGATCGATATGGAAAATAGGCCTACAACCTATTTCAACAAGTTGCGACCTTACGATTTTTCTTTATTTTGAGATATTGTTCCATTCTTATTAATGTTAAATAGTTCTTTTCATCATAGTAATGCAATGATTAAGACCAAAGAGGCTGGTTCACCTGCAATATGGGAAAAAGAAACAAATATAATATTTTGTGACATTTGTCTCAAGGAGATCGATATGGAAAATAGGCCTACAACCTATTTCAACAAGAAAAGACGGCAAAATATTATCATAAAATTTATGAAAAGTACAAATAGAGAGTACGATATGATGCAATTAATAAACAAGTGGGATCAGCTCAAGAAGGATTGAAAAATCTACAAAAAATTGAAACGAGGGTCAACAGGCTTGACGTGAGATCTGGTAAAGTGAATGACTGATGCTTCCGAGGAGTTGTGGGTAGAAAGACTTACGGTCAGTATATTTGAAATGTCTCCTAATTTTGTCAATTTTTATTTTGTTTTTAATTTGAACTAGATATTATATGAATTTGTAGGCAGTGTCTGCTGCAAAAAAATTTAAACTCAGTGGAATCAATCCTGCGCATATATTTGGGGTTGTTGTGGCAACGAGCAACAATACATGTGCCCCTAGTGAGATAAGGTTTTGGTAACACCCCTGACAGTTTGGGAGCCGACCAATCAGGTGATTTTGCCCAAGGCTCCAGCTCAGACCTCTATGAACTTTTCCATGAGTCATTCTAAGCATTGACGGGTTGAAAATAAAAAGAAAATGGGAGCTATTTTCCTTAGAAACCAGATATTACAACTGGTGGCTTCATGCAACAATGAACTGAACACATCTAAAGCAGCTTCTATTAACGAGGTTCTGCAAATTTTGAATGCAACTCCGAGAATTTTGAGTATTTGTTGTAATTGTTTTCGATGGAGTTGCTTAAAGATTTAACCTGGAGAGATTTTTTCATCAAGACGCCAAATGACTGTAGGTGGCGAACCTATTATAATTTTATGAGCTTCTAGAACATTTGAGAGACTTTTTATTTACAATCGTATGAGACATTTATATTTGTTTATTGTTCTTCATTTTGCTTTGATATTTCAACTGCTTGGAACATGAATTATATTTATTCATTGATGCTTATATCTTTATTGTGTTATTTGTAACCTTGTATGATTGTAGTTAATTCATTGATGCTTCTCTATTAGCCACTACGATACCGATCTACATGGATGTAACCAGAGAAATACACAGAAGGAGAGTTGCAGCTATCGTATGATTGATGTATGAATTTTGAAACTCATACATAGAACGCTCTCCTTGCATGACATTCTCATATACTGAGGACAAATGGGTTGGGGAGTTTCATGTGGGCCACCAAACGAGATTTAGCGATATGTTCCACATGACACAGGTGATATTTAATGATCTGTTGGAGGAACTACACAGAAAACATGGACTACATGGCTCTTTCAGAATAACTTCGTCAAAGGTGTTGGCGATAGCCCTATACATATTATCGCAATGATTTCAACACACCTTCAAAATAATTTATAGATACTTCTCAATAGGGTTGAATGCACTTTTAAGTTTTTCTTCACAAGTCATAAAACCAACAAATTTCACGTTCAGACGACCCCCACAGAGATTTTACATGATGCACGAGACATGTTCTTGAAGGTAACTTTTCCAAATTATTACATTAAATTAAAAAAAAAACATCATAATCATGTAACCCCTTCGTTATCTTTTTAGAATTGTATCAGAGCAATCGATGGAACACACATTAATGTGTATTTTCCAAATAATGAGAAGATCGCATTCATCAGTCGTTGTAGGTCCCCGATGTAGAATGTCATGGCAGTATGCAACTTCAACATGTGATTCACATCATGACCAGTTAAGAGGGCAGTATACATGACAGTCAATTTTTCAAAGCCGCAATACGGAATAACAAGTACAACTTTCCACATCCACCTATAGGTATACTTGAGATTGAGCTACTCTCCTAATTCATTTTTCTCGCAATCCTAATACAAGACTCAATAGTATAGTGTGGTAGAAAGAGCTATATATAGTTCTTTCTACCACACTATCTCAGATACTTCTGATTCCACATTTCATTTCAAACTTAAATAGAGTTTAAAACCCTTTCATTTCTTCAATCATTGAGAAAAATGAATAATTCAAGTTTCATTCAAATTAATCATTTTGGCTGACTGTTTTGACGTATATGATAAGTAAAAAGAATACAACTCATTTCAAGTAAATACTAATTAGTTGATGTTGGATATCCATTGCAGCGAGAGTAGCTCAAACCCTATCCTAATACGAGATACCGCATACCTGACTTTGAGCGATCCAGCAATGTAATGCGAGACAAAAAATGTTCAATAAAAGACATTCATCATTACAAAGTGTTACTGAGAGGATTTTTGGTGTTTGAAAGAAGAAATGAGTTATACTTCGTGATATGTTATCTTACCTGTTTCCCAAACATGTGAATATTGTGATCGCCACAATGGTTCTCTACAATTACATTCGGCGGCTCCTTTCCACAACAACATCGACTTCCATAGGACGTACAAGGATCATGAGCATGTCTCTGTCGATGCATTTGAGTATTGTCTTGGACATTTATTGTCATAGCTTGAGAATGATGCTCCCGAGACTTATAATAAAGATGGGGAAGGTGTACGGGAGATGACAGAGTTGATGGAACGAATTATGAATGCGACAGTAGGAGGGTAGTAGGAGGGTAATTTGAGTATTCAATATATTATTATTTGCATTTTATTCAATATTATTTGTATTTTATTAAGTAAATGTTTATTTCATTTCCTATTTTATTTGATATTGGTTGTTTATATTTTTTATGT